GTAAGGCTTACTGACATTCGGTACCCAGGTGGTTTATCCCAGAACATTTCTGAAAACAGTCACAGATGAGTGTGCACAAAAAGGTTCACGGCAACACGGTGTGTGGAGCTGAAGTCAACGGCACAGGTTGGTTTCCCCAGAAACAGACTCAGAGACGGAGATTCGCATTCGAGTGTCCCCTCCCCCAGGGCAAGGCCTCGGCTGAGGCGGCCCCCTTCTGCCAGGCGCTCCCGAGGAGGGACAGTACTCCAGACAGCTGGGCAGCGAGTGCCTGGGTGCCGAAGGAGGACCGGCGGCACGTCATAGCATCCACTAGCAAAGCCTAGGAATCTAAGAGAGAGGGTAAGATGCAGGGGTGAGCACAGCGCAATACTGTCGCGCACTCTTCCAGGGTGCTCTCTGGTGGGACTTCGTCATTCCAAGTGTGTGGGAGGACTGCCTTCCGAACCGCAGTCCTGCTCCTGAGTCCAGGTCCCAGAGACATTCTCAGAATGTATGAAGATATCATTCATAGCATTGTTTGTGGTAGTGGGAAGCTGAAGACAACTCTGTATTCTTATGGGGAAATAGGTAAGTCAGACGTCGCAGGGGCCTGTGGGGGTATACAGCGCCGCAGCTGGAAGAGATGATCTGTGTGACATCACGCATAGGTCTTAAAAACATTGAGTGCAGAGCTTACAAAATGAAATTAGATCTATAAAGTGGTACATGTATGGTTCCCAAGGATATATACAGATTCAAGGACATGTATCAAGCACATTTAAATCAAATTTCAATAGATGCCCTTGGAGGGAAGGAGTCAGTGAGTGGATATCAGGGCAGAATGGGGAAAAACTGAAATCAAATGGGCCTAGATTCATGAAAGTAATAAACTAAAGAGTATGAGAAACTCACCTCTGTATCTGAGGTTCACGGGAGAAGAAAAGCTGTCTTAGTAAGCATGCTTTGTCGGAATAATTACGAGAGCACCTAACACTGGAGTTCAAGCAGTGGAGACTGTGAGACGCGGTTGGCTTCAGGTGTTTCACAGACAGCACCAGCAGAATGCCGAGGGGGTCAGGTGTGTGGGGGAAAGAAGAGGTCAAGGGTCACTCCTAGTTTCGACCTAAGCAACTGGAGAGAGAATGTGACTATTTTCAGAGAAAGAAAAAGACTGCAGGAGGAGGGGGTTTTATAGGCTGGGGCTGGAAATTAGGAGTTCTGTTTTGATCACGTTACATTTGAGATGTCTATTAGTACCATGAGGCCAGGGACTTTGATTACATCAATGCTAAATTCCCAGCTCCTGAAACAGAGCCTTGCACATAATAGCTGCTAAATAAACCTTTGTTGAATAAAAGAATGAATGAATGTACATAAACAAAGCAGCCGCATTTAGAGGTCTGGAGCTCAGAGTAGAGCTCAGGGCTGGAGATAAAGATCTAGAATTCTTCAGCATGTAGATGGTCACGGTTGAAAGCTGCTGGGTTGATCCAGCACCTCCAGGTAGGTGGCTGAGCCCAGACACAGGGAGGGAGAGGAGGAGGTGTGGCTCGCCCGGCCCCTACACCTTCCAGACCTCGGGCTGGACGATTCCCCTCTGACCCTAACCTCCTGTCTTTCCTCCTCTTCTGCTTCTTCTGCGTACCCTGACATTTGACATTTGGGCAACAAGAGGACTAGTCAGCTGATGTCAGCCCCCTTCTAGAAGCCTGAGATTCTGCATCCTCTGGGCCTGAGCTGGGCTGGGGCAGGTGTGTTTGGGACGGCAGACGCCCTGGTCTGGAAGCACAGGTTCCCTGTCCAAGCCTCTGGTTCGTCGGCTGCGCCTGGATAACAGCAGCTCCGTCCTTACCCAGGTTGTGTTTCTCCCTTACGTCGTCCGGTTCCGGCTTCTCTGCACCCCGCCCTCGGCAATCAGGGCCCTTTTCCCTCGTTTCGCTCGCGCTTCCCCAGGCTCCTTCCATCCCCGTCTCTCCGGGCTCAGGGCAGCCTCACCTGCAGGGGCTCCGGCTGTCCGACCACCGACCCGCCCCACTCCCCGTTCCCACCGAGCCGCCCCTCCCCTGCCGTCCCTCCAGCTCCCGTCTCGCCTGTTTCTTTCCTTCTCTTCTCCCTCCGTCTGGCTCGGACCTGTTTGAGACGGCTCTCGATGACCCGGGGTGAGCTTGGGTCTCTGGCTCTGAGGACACGAGGCTGCCACGTGACCCTGGCAGCAGCAGCCCTCTCGAGGACGTGTGGAAAAGCCCCACAGACTACGGACGACACGCCCTCCCTCCCCGTCCCATCCCGTCCCCACGCCGGTCTGACCTTCTGACCAGCTCCCTGCCTGCGCTGCGGCCGCCTTGCCCCACCGCGTCGCCCAGAGTCGCCCGGGGGAGAAGCAGTTCGACTGCACGTGGGGTCCTCTGTCCCTGTGACTCCGACTTCTGACTTGTCGTTGAGCCTGTTGTTTTCTGTCCTCGGCGTCTTACGGAGAGTCTCCGCTGGAAGTGACAGCCGCGGAACCTGGCTCACTGTTCTCGGACGATGACTGCTTATCTTAGTGGGTGCCTGCTGGAGTCTCCCAGAGTGATCCATGTGGATGTCACACTCTGTGTTCCGACCGTACCCCAAAGTAGCCTCCAAATTTGGTGAAACCCGGTTACTTTCATGCGTGTGAATTTAGCCATTGTGTGTGTATAGGTAAAGCAATGGAAACATAGGAAGAAACCTCATTTTGCTTTTACAAATACGTGTCATCTGGCAACACGGAGTTCAGTGTGGTCATTTGTTGTCTGTGTGTGGAAGACCCATGGCCCCTAGGGTGTCTTTTTGCAATTTAAGTCATCTACGTCACTGAAAATCTAATCTTCCTAAATAGTGACCATGGTCATGGCGCTGTTCTCTTGAATAACTGCCAACCGTTCCCACCTCTTAAACTGAGCAACAGTCCTCAGCCGGCGTCATCAGCGTCCGTGTGTGACCTCGCCTTGCCTTCCCTGTCCTGTCCCTGCCGGCCACATTACACCTGCTCCAGGGCGCATCATGCCCCCGGCCGGCCTCCCACTCTGGTGGCTAGGCCTTCGCTTGTGTGGCCTCCCCAGTCCCAATTCTCCTGTCGCATCCTCTCCTTCAAGGCTCATCTGGACAGAGCCTCATCTGACATCTGCCTGGCTGTTCTTTCTTCCTGCTTTCAGCCTCTTTACTTTGCTTATTTTTATTTTTATTTCCTTCTGGCTCTTACCTTTGTGCACTTTGTATCGTGGCTGTTAGGTAATTGGCTTAGCCCTCCGCTAGGGGACAAGCTCCTCGAAGAAAAGGACTGTGTGTTTCTCATCTTCACATTCTGCTCTGGTTCTGAGCTTCGTGCCTCGTGCGCGGGAGTTGGATAAAAGAGAGAGAGAACCGGTACCCGGATATTTCAGGGCCGTCACTGGGCCGAAAGAGAGCTGGATGAAGGAGATGGGGAAGATGCTAGAGGAAGCGTGCCCGCCGGAGTAAGATGCAGACCCTGCCTCTTTCACATCGAGTCTTCTGAGTGACTGAGACAGACATCGTGCCTGCATTTCCGCTCCTCCCGCCTTCCTGTCATTTCCCTCCCCACCGGGAAAATTGCTCCGTTAGACACAAGCCATTGCCTCGGATCTGGCTCCTAGGCATTCAGCATCAATTTTTTTCCTCCTCGGAACAAGTCTATTCACACCAAGCATATATTTGCTCCCTCGCTGTTTTGTTACAGACAATCAATTCATATGGACTGAGAAAAGGATGTCTTAAGGCAAACAGCAAGGCGGTTGGATACATTTGCTTCTTGTGAACAGGGTCATAACTTAATTAGCAAAGGAAGCTCTCCAGCTCGGGGTGGGAGGGGAGGCGTTTGCACGTTTTCATGGCCATGTGCTGGTGCTCAGTGCTGTGTGACCCAAACTGCGCGAGCACAGCCCCCCGGCATGGCTGCATGGGATGGAGGGAGGCGGTGGAAACGCCCGGATGTGCTTCTGGGTGGGGGTGTGGGGGTGCAGTGGGGGGAGTATCGGCTCATGAGCTTTGCAATATGTTCCGACTCTTCTTCAAAAGTGGGTTTGAGGGTTGCCAAACGACTCCAGTACAGAGTGGGCTTGCAAAGTCGCTCTCTCCTCTCACTCTGAGCAGATACCTTCCTTGGTGTTAAATAGAGGCCAGACCTAATTGTTTTGTGTTCTGGCTTCTCTCTTTTCCTCATAGATGTGATTATTCTATCAGCGGTGCTCTCAAAATCAACATTAGAAACTCTATTAAAATGGAGATAAGGTGACCCTTCTTCCTTTATAGTGGCAGTTTTCTTTTCTTTTTTTTTCTTTCTTTCTTTTTTTTTTGAGACAGGGTCTTGCTCTTTTAACCAGGCTGGAGTGCAGTGCTGTGATCATAGGTCGCTGTAACCTCAAACTCCTGGGCTCAGGTGATCCTCCTGCCTCAGCCTTCCGAGTAGCTGGGACTACAGGTGCACACCACCATGCCTGGATAATTTTTTAATATTTTTGTGGAGATGGGGTCTCGCTGTGTTGCCCAGTCTGGTCTTAAACTCCTGGACTCAAGCGATCCTCCCACCTCGGCCTCCCAAAGTGCTGTGATTATAGGCGTGAGCCACGGCGCCTGGCCTATAGTGGTCGTTTTCATTTAGGTGCTCATCAATTTTATTTATTTTACTTTCTCTCATATACAGGTCTGGTTCAGTGAGAAGATGTTTGAACCCTCATTCAGTTTTTATACTGGATATAAAATCCCCTCGTGCAAAACCCTGGACCAGTATTTTGAATACATCCAGTCACTGCCATCCCTGGATAACCCCGAAGTCTTTGGGCTGCACCCTAATGCTGATATCACGTAAGTCTTGATATTTTTTAATTTGAAGGGGTCATTTGTAACTCCTCCTGGCAATGACTGTGCATTTCATTTTCTCTCTTAATCTCTCTCCTTTCCCCTTTTTTTTTATTTCACTGTGAAAAATAGTGTCGCTTCCTGTCTCCCAATTACAACTTCGTCATATCTTGGCCTGCTCTGCTCACGAAATCCCGATGCTCCGGTGTTTGTGCCAGCGTTAGGCTCTAATCCATGCATTGATTATTTCTCCTCTGCTGTGTCATAAAGCCAGTTGGCGCTAGTGGTACCGATGCGCTCTGTTGACAGCAGCTTAGTCTCCCGGCTCCTGGTCTCTTTCTTCAACAGTCCAGCTGAAAGCGTGGTCTCGCCAATAGGACCGAAAGGGGCCAGGCGAGCCCAGACCGGGGCATGAGAACCGATTCCTGCCCAATGCTCTGTTTATGGCCCCCCTCCCTCCCTCGCTCCCCTGTGTCCCTCCGTCATGAACTGCCGTGGTGGGCACAGGGCGGTGAGCACGCAAGCACCCGGCACAGATGCACAGCTGCCGGAGAGAGTGGCAGGTCTCAGCGTGGCGTGGGGGCCCTGTTCCTGTCGTCAGGGTCACAGGCCATGAGTGAAGAGATAAGAAATGCTTCCCAGTCCCAAGCCCCTTCTCTGACCCACCCTTCGGATGAGGTCTCTTGAGAGATCCCTGCCTGAAAATCGGGCCACCCAGCTCCACAGGGAGGGCTCGGGAAGCCCGAGCTGAGATGCCCCTCTGCATGGGCATCGCCTTGAGGCGCATCGAGGAAAGCCCGCAAGTTTCTGTCCAGGAGGGTGGTTTCGGGAAACGGAAGAAACCAGGGCTCCTCTGGCAGATGCTGAGCTGCCGTGGCCGGGGCGCGTGGCGTGCCTCCCGGCCCTGGCCTGCTATTGTAATTTTCCTACCTCTCTGCCGCGGGGCTCGGACCTTTCCCGCCTTCTGGTTCTCAGGCCTTGTCAGGTGTCCCAGGAGTCCCAGTTTCCACCAACTGCATCATCTTTCCCCTCTGAACACCCGCCCCGCCCGCTGCAAGAGGCCCGGTCGGCCTCTTCATGCCCGCACCGAGCCAGCCTTCCCCGTCCTCTAGTCTCCACCATGCCCCTTTCATCTTCAAATGTGGACGTGGCGGAAGGACTCACGACTGCTGACGCTCTGTTTGGACCCCACGACGGGACCGCTTTGGTGGCGGCTCCAGCTGTTACGTGACGAGGCTGTTGTCAGCTAGCTGGGGACGAGGAAGAAGTGAAGAGAGAAAAAGGATTCCTCAAGGCTGGTTTGATAATCAACTTAAACATTATACGAAAGGGGGAGCACAGTGAAGTCGCTCTGCTGTAGCGAAGTCTTTAAAAATGTGAGTCAGACCACCCCGCCCCTCTGCTCAGAACCCTCCAAAGGCTCCTGTCTCACTCTGAGTCAAGGTCGAAAACCGACAGTGACCTACACACAGATGACCGGTAAGGCCCAGCGGTGCTGTCTGCCCTTCGCCCCCTGACCTGGGCTCCTTCTGCCGTCTTCCTCTCACGCCTGCTCCGCTCCGGCTCTCCCCAGCTCCTGCCACTCAGACTGCAGACAGCGGCCACCACAGGACACTTGCACTTCCCGGAGCATCCTTCCCCTCCATATCACTGTGGCTCACCCTTTTACCTCTTCTTTGCTTCAGTGATGCCTTCCCTGGCTTCCCTACTTAGAAGTTGTAATCCACTTCCCAGACCCCATCCCGCAGGCCTGCTTTTTTCTGTAGTTTGCATTCTCCATTTTAATTATTTACTTCTTGTTGCCTATCAGCCACCACCAAAACATAAGTTCCATTACGTCTGAAACTTCTCTTTGTTTTCACTGTTGTGTCCCCAGAGCCACAGCAGTGCCTGGTGCTCAGGAGCTATTTGTTGACTGAACCAGTGACACTAAATCCTTCTGGGTTGTGAAGAATCCGATCAATGAGCATAGTCTATAGAAAGGTCTCAGGAGTTCATGTGAGTGGGCAGAGAAACAGCCCCTAAGTCTCAATGGCACGTGTACATCGGTCATTGAAGCTGTTCACGTAGGAGGGCTCTGAAGTCTCCTAAGGAGTCCTGGGAGCTGGTTCCTAGATAATCTGGTCCTGGCAGGGTCTCGGGAACCCTACACGAGAGAACGTAAAACAAACTGGAAACCACTCCCCCCGCTGGCGTGCCTGCGCCTCGATCGCCGTAGGCTGTTTAAGTCACCAGCACTCAAGAAAGAGGAACCAGAGCTGGAAAAAGTACAACTAAAATGTAAACGGAGTTGGACACGGCGAGAAAGACGAACTATTTTTCCCCTTGGCTTGTCACTTCGAACTAGTACAGACCCTCAGAAAAGTTGCAAGTATAGTGAGCATCCATATGCCCTCCACCTAGATCCAGCAGTTGCTGACATTTTGTTCCATTGGCTTTTTCTCCTTCTATATTTATATCTCTGCGTGTTTATATATCTACAGCTATATCCACACGTTACTGTAACCACATCTATTTCTAAGTGTGTGTGCGTGCTCATCTGCCCTCTCGGTGGACAGAGCTAGGAAGTGTGTATTTTTTAAAACAGCGCGAGCTAATACACGCAACTCCGATTCCAGTCGTGCGCCTCAGGGTTCTTGCCTGCCTCCCCCCGTTCCATGCTGCTATCTCCTTTCTCCCACGGTGGAAACTCCAGTTCCCAGCAACTTCAGTGTATTTATTCATTTGCTTGGGTTAATGTGCCAATACCACTGCTACAACAAACCTCCCAAGCAGAGTTCAAGATTTCTTTGCAGTTATTTTTGGTGTTAGAATATATTCCACGGAGGGTGTGCAGAGTATGTATTCAAGTCACTTGCATTGTTTTTTTTTCTGCGTGGTTATCAGTTGATATATGGTTACATTCATTTGTTTCTGTTTGTATTACATTTTAGTTTTTTTCTCCATCTTTGTTATTATTTTGAATATGTAAAACACGGACATGGTTCAGAAGTCACAACTAGGTAATAAGTTGTTCTTGGAGAAGTCTCATACGCTTCTAACCCAGTTCCCCCTTCCTTTATGGGTAACCAAGCACAGTCCTGGTTTCTCTCCCCTGTGTTTCTTTTTGCGTGTATGTACATATATACGTACTTGTAGTACCCTTTCTTGCCAAACAAAGTTGCCATACTATATGCATTGGTTTGCCTCCTGCTTTTTTCACGTAACAATGTATCCTGTAAATCACTGCCATCTGACTGATTCATAGAAATCTTCCTCAATATTTTTTACAGCTGCGTGCTGCTCCATTGTTTGTACCTATGGATGGGCATTTGGGTTGTTGCCAATATTTTGCTATCTCAAGTAATTCCTTAAGTAATAACCTTATGCTTATTATCTTTCATATTATTAGAGATGTATTTGCAGGGCAAATTGCTGTGGGTGGAATTGCTAGATCAAGGTTTAGCGAATATTGCCAAATTCCCTCAAATAGGATTGTACTATTTTGCACTCTTACTTTCAATACATGGGGTTGCCTGTTTCTTCAGAATCTCACCAATAGAATGTTGGTGAAGCAATTGAATTTTCACCCATATGACAGTGAGAAATGGTATCTCTGCATAGTTTTAATTTACTCTCTCTTATTTTGAATAAAATCGAGCAAATTTTCATGTACCTAAGGACTATTTATGTATAGTTTGCCCATTTTTCCAATACAGTTTTTATTCTTTTTCTTTGATTTTAAGACTTACTTACATATTAGAGATATATATTAGAAAGCTCTTTGTTTGTGATATGCATTGCAAATATTTTTATCTCAGTTTGTCATTCAGTTTAACTTTGCTTATGATTTTCTTCCTGTTGGCCAGGTAGAAGTGTTGTTGTTGTTTGTTTTATTTTACTTTCATTTTTATGTAGTCAAATTTATAAACTCTTTTTGTTGTCATGTTGTTACATCTGAATTTTTAGTATTGGGATATAATTCATTTATTGTATAATTCACCCATTTAAAGTATACAATTTAATGGTTTTAATGTTAGGCAACCCTCATCACAATATAATCTTTTCTTTTTTTTATTGATACATAATAGCTGTACCTATTTTGGGGGTCCATGTGATATTTCGATATAAGCATGCAATGTGTGATCAAATTTGGCTATGTGGCATATCCATTACCTTAAACATTTATCATTTCTTTGTGCTGGGAATGAGAAAGTCTTTTCCCACGTCAGGTTATAAAGGAATAATCTATAATTTCTTCCAGTACTTTTATGGTTTCGTTTTTTACATTTAGTTCCTTCATCCATTTGGAATTAATTGTGGCATAGTACGCATAAAAGTCTGTCATTTTCCGAGTACCCGTCCGGTCATCCCATCGTCAGTGATTTGAGATGCTTCCTTTAGCACAGCTAGAATTTCCATATGTACGTGGGTCCATTTCTTGGCTTTCTGTTCTATAACAATCTGTGTTAAATTTAGAGATCTATAGTGTGTTTTACTGTCTGGTTGGGCTAATCTTCCCTATTGCTCTGTTTTTTGTTTTTTTCTTTCTGGGCTTGTCCTAGTTATCATTGCATGTTTATTTTTTTATTTATCATAAATGGGTATTGAATTTTATTGAATGTCTTTCAGCATCTATGGATATAATCATGTGATTTCCCCTAAATATCTAAAACTCTGGTAAATTATATTAATGGATTTCCTAACTCAATTTATCCACATAAAATCTGAAATTAATACCACTTGGTCTTGATGTACTAGTCTTCTCTTAATGTGATTATGGGCCCTATTAATAATTCATTGGGGATTTTTGCATTAGTATTCATAAATGAGATTGGTCTAGAGTGGGTTTTTTTGTGGTATCTTTATCAGGTTTAATTATTAAGCAATGCTATATTTGCTTTATAGAATTTAGAAGTTTTCTCAAGCTCTGGGACAATCGATATTGGATACTTGAAGATTTGGTAGAATTCTCCTATGAAACCATCTGTACCCAGTGCTTTTCAGTGGTGCTAGTTCTTTGGTAT